CATTAATTATGTTTTTGATAAACATCCTTTGGCTAAAATTAAGTTTGTCTCAGCCCCCCCCCCCCTTCAGTGTCCACCATATTGGATCAGTCCATTTGCTGCACATGTTCAGAAAGGTCCAAACAGACAGCAGCAAACCATTTGAAAACAAACCATGCAAAGAGCAGTGTTGCCAACTTAGCGCTTTAGTCGCTATATTTAGCCACTTTTCAGACCCCTCTAGCACTTTGATTTCTAAAAAGCTCCTAGCGCCAAATCTAGAGACTTTTTTCTGCAACTGGAGACTTTGGAGACAACATCTAAAAGCAGCGAACTCTGCTCTCCAGAGCGAGTAGATTGGTAACCCCGCCTCCTGCTCTCCTCTATCTTGTCTGCTGTCATGATTCATGCAGCTATTATTTCATCCAAATGAAAAATGGAGAACAGATAAGCAGATCATGGCTTGTCTACAGTGAAAAGAAGGACTGGGTTATTTACTTTGGCCTTTTTGGAAACACAGGAAGGAGCAATCAGCTAAGTGAGCTTAGTGCTTGGAAAAAATCTTTCATTCCTTTAGAGACAGCATGAAAAGTCAGCTGAGTACAAAACATAGAGAGGAAAACAAGAAGAAAAGGGACAAGAAGAGAGGGACACAACCTAGAACAGATAACCTCTTAATATCCACCTGATTTTGGGAAATTCTTGTCTATTCTGCATACCCAAATGGAAAAGCAAATAACTGAGGAACTCTAAGCCCAAATTACATGTGTGATATATTATTTGAAAGTTAACACCTTCTAGTTTATGAATATATACATGGAAATTGGGTGAGCAAAACACCCAAGCTGCATCTGTTATTTGTTCTTGTGTTTTTGCAAACTTTTAACTTTTTGACTAAATAAACCTTTCTACTGTTTGTTTTCTCCATGGGAATTAGAGACCTCTGGTGCTCTAAACCTAGATGACTCCTTCCTCCTAGGAGAGCGTACTACGGACCCTCTACGATTAATAGCTGACACTGGACTTCTAAGTAACTTGTCTAAGGGTAGAACTGACTTGGTGAGCATTGGATATAAACTGTAGTTATTATGAGATATTCTAAACATTCATCAATCAGAAAAAAGGCACAACTTTATAGATAACATCTTCATATCTTGCAATTTGATCTTTAAGCTTTTCCATGCCTCAAGCTGCATTCACACCCAAAGCTTTGCCTAAACACAGAAATATCAACGCTCGTCGCCTTGCTTTTCAGTTTCGCCTCTGGCTGCTCGGCGCTCTGGTTGTTTATCTGCTCTGTTCTGTAGCTTCAAGTTATTGAGCAGTTTGGCTTTATTTACTTTATGCATTGGAAAACTGGTTCTAACAGGTTTTTAAGTAAGAAAGTCCGCCTCCAAACATCTTCTGTTCATCAGTTAATCTGGATTATCATCCCACTAAAACCTGCAGTTGTTGTTGGGAGCGCCACACTGGAAAAAATCTTAATCTAGATAAGTATTTTTTTCTTGAATTAAGGAGGTAAGTGAGACACTTTGCCAATGGAAGAAGACAATTTACATTTAAAATAAGAAAAAAAAAATGTCTTAGTCTTATTTCAAGTGCATATTATTTAATTATCTAATTTCATGAGTAAACAGACTCATGGCATTGGAAGATCATCTTATTTACCTACTCAGATTAAGGATAAATACACTTAATAAAACAAGAAATGGCTTGTTTCTAGATTGTTTTTGCAGTGCAGACCTCCCAGCTGAAAGCTCTCTGCTGCAACCAGCCTGTAGAGGATTTCCTGCTGCCATTCATAGCTACTGGAAGTCAATAGAAAGAGTTTTAGGAATTCTGGTAAAAACTGCAAGAACCTAGCCTAGTAAACTAGCCCCACCCACCAGAGACCAAAATCATTTTTACCTGCGAGCGGTTTAGCCTTGATCAATGGCCCAGACCCTAGAACTGACGGGCCAATCAGGCTGGAGAAAGCACAACAAGGACTAAATTACACATTTAATCTCACATTTAGTCTGGTTTATCAGGCTAGAACCAGAATATACAATCCGATATTTTTCCATCAGCAGGTTTTAACATTTCTAGTTAACTTGGGTATTTATAAGCCGTTTCTCCATAGTTCATAAAAATGTTTTGGTGGCGCAATAATGATCAGAGCTGCTCTCTGTTCCTTCTACATAGTGATCAATTCTACCAGTCATGATTCTGTCCTTTCTGGGGCCTGTTTCAATAAGGAAGTTCAACCAACTCTGAGTTACAACTTGAACTCTGAGTTGACTTATCCTGAGATTGGAAACTCTGAGTTTTGGGTTTCAGAACAGCTGAAATGAGTTAGTTCAATCAACTCTAAATTGACTGACTCTAAGTTAAGCGCGTGCACCACAACTATAAAAAGCCATTATCAATGGAGCACAGATATTACGAGTCACCATGGCAACAGCGTCAGACAAAAAAAGGTGTGCATATTTCTCACCAGCAGAACTGGATGTGCTTATGCAAGCATATGCAGAATTTGAACATGTATTTAAAAAAAAAAGCAACACGGCTGCAGCGGCAGTTAGCTTGGGTGAAAATAGCTGCTCGAGTCAATGCGTAAGTTTACATTTTAATTACTTTTATACAGTGTTGGGGGTAATGAATTAAGTTACTTAAGTCATATAAATACTGTAATTAAATTAAAGACTATAAAACAATAGTGGATTTAATATCAAATTTTAAAAGGTATATTTTGATTTGAACTTTCTCCCTCTAGTTACACACTTTGGTCAATTTAAGATTAATTCATGCAATTGAATATTGTTTATTTGAAAGCATTAGAAGTGCAGTTTCTTGTCTGTCCTTGTATTGTTCAAGTGGTTGAGGTTGATTTGGGATTTAGAAAGTAATTAATAAGTAAGTAAAACAAATGAGTAAGTAGACCAATACTTTCTAGAGACAGTAATTATTACATTAATCTAATTAGACTTGTTGAAGATAAAATTTGTAGTTAGTAATTAAGAACTATTTTAGAGTAACTTACCCAACTGTTATAATATCAGAGGTGAAACTGGAAGAACAGTATTTTATTAAACCTAATTTAGTTTTCATGGATAGGTGCAATCCTGCAGGCATCAAAAGAACATGGCAGCAGCTGAAAATGAAATATAAAAACATACTTCAAGCAGGTAAGCCTTGAGCACATCATGGGAGTAGAGTAGCTACCTGGCTTTACAAACATTTGACATATTAAATGACTAAATGGCATTCAGTGTCTAGCAGTGCAGCACCATTTTTGACATAGGTCTAAATGTTCATTCTCATTTGACTTCTAGTCAGCCAACAGAAAGAAGGCAGAGGCTCGTAAAACAGGGGGAGGACCTGCACCACCACCCCTGACAAATGCAGAAGAGATGGCCCTGAGCCTAAATGCTGGAAGGCCAATGGCTGAGGGAATTCCTGGAGGGACTTCATCAGAGCCAGTCACTCCAGAAGATTTAAGTGCCTTCATAAAATGTAAGAGGTCTACCTACAGTGTTATTTTTTTATGTAGACTTAATGTGATATTTCCATTTATATTACTTTGGGTTGGGTTTTTTGTTGGTCCCAACAGATTCGGGTGGTAATATCTGCCTCTTGAAGCCTCCTGTCCCAACAGTACCCCATCCAGTTGTCAGGAGCCTACTCCATACACCATCAATTATGACAAATAGTATTATAAAGTGTACTCTATGAAATGCTCATCTTCACAGGATGATGGGGATGAAGAAACTGTTTCTGCTGCCACAGACAGGCCTAGAGAGGTAATTTTAATATTATTTGTCTACACATCAAACAATCTACACATTCACATTTATATGTGGAGTAGCCTATAGAATCCAAGTTTATATCTATAAATGGTCATTCTTATCTCTACACCCCAGAGTGTGGAAGAACAGCAGGAGGAAGGTCCATCAACTTCTGGTGCACAGATGGACACAGTTCAGTGATTTACAGTAAATGTCAGTTTCATTCCGAATTGTAGACTACATTCATGATGTGACTCTAATCTAATGTATTTTCAGTTGCCAGTTAAGGAGTTATATAGACTTCTTCTTATTAAAAAGATAGAAAAAAACAGCAAAGAACTTGTATACTTGGAACGCCGGATCCAAAAGGCAGATCTGGAAATCGACATTCTGAAACTAAAGCTAGAGGTGAGTGTATGGTCACAGGTGAATTCTAGGAAGTATTGAAACTATTTTAAAATCTTTTTTTTATTTTTTTTTTTTTTAGCAAATGAAGAACACCATATAAATTGCTGTGATTTTGTTTATTAATTAGTTTATTTTGTGGTTGCATTTGTATGAAATAAAGAACACCATAAATTGCTGTGATTTTGTGTTTATTCATTTTTTTTGTGGTGGTGGTGGATATCATGTGTATTAATCTGAGAAGACATTGCGGCATATCATATCCCGGACTACCCTTCCATCCTGGAAATCTGCAGGGTTGATGGGCTCTTCCTCAGGGTCTTGTAATTGTAGGGCAGGGTGTTGCTCCCCTCTAATTATGGCAATATTATGGAGAACAACACATGCCACAATAATGTCGCAGGCCCTTTCAGGGGTTACCCTGAGGTGACGTAGGCCCTGGAAAAGTGCTTTCAACAGGCCTATGGTCATCTCCACCCAGGCTCTCGTCCCGCAGTGTGCCACATTGAAGCGCTGCTGTGGGCCTGGTTCAGGTTCTGGGTAAGGGCCCATAAGATTTGGTCAGCATGGGTAACCCCTATCTCCCACACAAAGAAAATGTCTGGTGCGCACAAGAAAATGTCTGATGCGCACAAGAAAGTTTTTTTTTCTCTTCAGTGTTCTTTCAGGGGCTCAGCACTGATAAGATCGAACATCGATCCTTCCATTTTTCATCGTGCTTTATCCCCAGTGTAAACTAACTGTTCTGATCAGTTCCCATCCTTGGAACAGTCGATAGAAGACTCCGCTCTATTTTCTCCCTACAGCAGGACAGCTGAAATTCAGTCGTACAGACGCAGGGAAACTCACATTGTTGATCTTGAGCTTGCTCTTGTCCTGTTTCTGCAGATGTCCTGACAGCTGATAGAGCACGGCTCTGCTGCGGCGCCGGTTGGCGTTGAAGCCTGGAGGGCGAGTTACCTGATGCACCTGTAGCCCCGTCTCCTCATCTGGGAAGGAGATGGAGACATGCTGTTTTTCAATCAAACTCACAACACAAGGGGAGAATTGAAATCACTATCGGTCTGATCCTGTGCATGTTGATTCTAACAGACCTTTTCTTGGCCTACATTTGTTGTTTATGCAGAAATGTGTTATTGAATATTAGATAACCACATCTGACGCCATGGCTGTCAGACCTAATGATAATGCTGCCTCAGTGAAACCACCTGTTCTATTGTTCCCATGCTCCTTTTATGCTAACAGCATAGCTGATATAGAACTGTGTTCTGCCTCTGTGAACCTCTATTGACTGGAACTTCTCTCAGTGTACAATTCAAACAAATATCATATCTGTGTTTACAGAATCAATACTAATGACAAACGACCCACAAAACCTCATTCAGTTAATATTTTCTTTCATATCAAGTAAAGATGGAAAAAGACACAAAGACACATAAATGGATTAAAAAAAGGGGACTTAGTTTCATAATAAGCAGATTAAGTCATCATCTCAGCCAGAAGATATCTTATTTCATTTCCTATTTCAGATCTTCCCCTGCCCATAATATGCTTTCTTTCTTGGAAAGTAACCACCCATATAACAAAATCATTTCATTCTCTTCAAGTACATCTAATTTGCTTAGAACATCTTTGATGAATCCTAAGGGAATTTAAAAAGTGCAGAATAAAAGTGTGGGAAGCTTTAACTGTATTTACATTTCAATGTGATTTACTGGGAATTACGAAACTCACCTGGAAGCACAAGTATGTATTACACGTAGTATGAAACAAAGCAGTCCTTAATTCAGAAAGATTTTAAAAAAACATTTAGTTTTTAATATTTTCTTTCAAATACAATAAAAAATGCTCTGCAGGCTTCTGTACCCCCTGTACTCCAGTGCCCCTAAATAAAGTCCAGGGCTTCCTTTTACCAAAGAAAGCAAAATTATTACAGAAGGAGTCACATTTTATGCTTATTTATATTACAAGCTCAGCTGCTCTGTGAAGGCTCATTAGATAACACACTGCAAAATAAGTCAATAATTCTTAAAATAAGTTTAATTGCCCTGAATTTGAAAGGATAAATAAGATTATCTTCCAATAGACTGAGTGTTTTTGCCCTCAAAGAAGATGATTAGATATTATGCAGTTGAACTGAGATTATTTTAAATGAGAACCATTGTATTCCATTGGTGAAATGTCTCACTCAAATCAAGCTAAAGTATTTTATGAATTTATTTTAAGGAATATTGACTTCATTTTTTACGGTGCACAGCAGACAGAGTGGGGCTGGTTTAAAAATGGACAGAAAAATATTTAAATCCATGCACATTTTCTTCCACTTCACAGTTAATCCCAACTTTGTGCTGATCTATCACATTAAGGTAGATGTAACATCACAAAATGTTCACATAACTTCCTAAGAGATCTGCAGCGTTCAAACAGATGCTCACTTAAAGGGCTGGGGACAGTGATCATACTGAAAGATCCAACAGGAGAACAAATCTGTCTACGGTTCATGACAGCGTTTAGAGAAAATGCTTGTGTGGAAGGAAATGCAAAAATTTTCATTTTCTAAAAGGGCATTGAAGGAGAGAACAATTCCAGTTCTGGTGGCTGAATAACAACAGATTCCCACCTGTTCCTTTTTCCTCCGTTAAAGAAAATGTGGAGCCGTTCACCAAACGAACGTCCAATCAGCGTTGGCTTTGAGGCGGGTTGAGGTGTGACGCAACGGGAAGCGCGACAGTTCAGTCTAAAGAACATGGCGGCTTCAGCCGATGAAACTAGCGTTAGCGTGGCTATCAAGCAAGTTTTATCGGAATTACAGAGTATTTCTTCACTGAAAGAAGAGCAAAACACTGCTCTGGAGGCTTTTCTCAGAGGAAAAGATGTTTTTGCTCTTCTCCCGACTGGTTTCGGCAAGAGTTTGATCTATCAATTGGCTCCTCTTCGTCATCGCTCTGTTAGTACGTCATATGCTTCGTTGATCTGATTGGTTTATTTGGCCCGTCTATCACCAACATAGGCCAATCAGCTAACCAATATTTTCGCCCCTTCCCAAAATTACTTCAACGGAAGGTTTCCAGATGGATATGCGGAGCAAATCCATCTGGCGGAGTCAGGTTAGCACACTAATAACAGCAAACCAAAAATACTGCATATTTGCACCATATATATTTAACGCCCTGAACTTCCAGATCAATGAGTTTATTTTATTTTTTTTGCACACCATGTTTTTTCTCTCACAATGTTTACATTTGATCACTGCCACACTTTAAGAAATGGAAATGTTGTGAAAACTGTACAAAACAAAACTTAAGCTTTTCTGATTTTTTAATTTTAGAGTTAGGGAACAATAAATTATGTCTAAGTCTCTAAATCTAATTTGTGAGCTAAACTGCATTGGCACCGTGTTTGGAAGAATTTTATAATTTTTGATAATAAACAGAAATGATCTTCAGTAGGAGAAGTATTCAGTATGGGTCTGAGCTTCACATATTCTAAATAAGGAGTGCTAAACTGGTTATGCAAAATAAAATAAATATAATTGTGGATGGAACAGGATGGATATGTTGATCAACAAAGACTACATGTGCGTCTGAGAAGACAGGCAACCTGGTGTGTTTCCCACATGTTAAAATTAGCATACTGCATGTTCTACTGGCTGTTTGAGAGCGTCTATAGCCTTGGGAGATTTTTATTTTATTTAACCTTTATTTTACCAGGAAGTCCCTTGAGATAAAATCTCTTTTTCGAGGGAGACCTGGCCAAGAGGCAGCAGTACAGTAAGACATATAAAAACACAGGACAACATAATAAAATCAATCATAAACTAGACTCTAGAATAACAGTTACAATTCTCTGTGCAAGCAGTTTTCAGTAGTGATTTAAAATGCTGTAGTGGAATAAGAGTTCGTAATTGCAGGGAGTTTTGAATATTGTGCCACGACCATGGTGCTGCAAGATAAAGCAGATAAAGCTCTAAGCTATGGAGATGGATGTCATAATGATAAAAAAATGCCCATATCAGATGATTGAAATTGATTTAGGTTTCTGAAATAAGGATGATGCGGTGAAATCAATAACTGCTTCATTTCTCTGCATTGTTTGACCAGTTAAGATCATTTATGGTCTGAGGTCCGAGCTCCGCCCTGCTCCTGACAGGAGGAGGGAGCCAAGAGGAAAAATTAATTTTGAGGGATTTTTTGTTCTCTGTTGTTTACAGATCTTTTCTGAATAATGGCAGCCAACTTAGGTGGTTTTCTTTTCTTCCTTCTAAATGCTGAATAAATAGACTTAAAAAAAGGTTTATTGTCGTTTTGTATACAATGAGTGCATACAAATGATATGACGTTGCTTTGAACTTCCAACAGTGAAAAGAACATTATCATTTAAAGTTCAGCAGTGATCAGCATGAAAAACCAGTTTAAAATAAGGATGCAAACGGGCATTAATATGGAAAGGTTTAGTACAGCACAAAAATATGGTGCAAAATGCCATTTTTCATAATGCTATTTATATAATTATAAAATTATAAGCACAAGTTAGAGTTCAACAGTTCATCAGTGTGATGGCGGTGGGGAAGAAGCTGTAGCAGAACCTGCTGGTCCTGCATTGAATGCTGTGAAGCCTCTTCCCAGAGGGCAGCAGGGAGAACAGTCCATGGTGGGGGGGTGAGGGGACATTGATGATGTCACGGGCTCGGGACACGCAGCGCTGGGATGAAATGTCTTTAATGGAGGGAAGAGGAGCCCCCATGATCCTCTCTGCTGTTCTCACCACTCTTCTCGTGTTCTTCTAAATAGTTGCCTCTTATGTGGTACTAGACTGATAAATAACAGTAAAAACATCATAAACCCAACACTAAGATTAAAGAATCAGAAAAGCTTAAGTTTCAAATCGGTATTTCCAATGAAGTTCAGATTGAAAGTGACAACGGGAGAGATATTTCAGCTGCCAGACCTTAAAATAAGAAGCATCAGCAGAAAAGGGCTTTGATGGCAACTCATCTGGGAAAAATCACAAAAATATCATCTGTGTGCTTCAAGTGCAAAAGGGAGGAAGATTAGATCCCTTTCTTTGGGCCTTCAGGCCTGAACCAACCGCTTGCGTACAACTTTTTAATCTCCGGTCCAATTTTCTGATCCATGTCACACTGATTGTGTAGAGAGATGCTCCGACTAGTCAGGGTGAGCACATCTGTGCAGATTTTTTTTTTTATTTCTGTCGTGATAAACACGTGTTCATGCAACCTGTGTTTATCCAAGCTGGACTTCCATCCTCCAGGTCCCTGAGTGAAGCACTAGTATCAGCTCACCCAGTCCTCTGGATCTCACCAATACAACTCAAGCAGACCGTCTCTCCAACCAGCGTTCATGGACTGAACCAACTTCATCTATCTCCACTCCACCACCAGCTTCAGGCCTGCAGGGAAACATCCCTGTTCTTATACTCCTGCATATCAAAGCAAAATTCTGCGCTATGTTTCCTGCCGAGGTCTGAGCGCCAAAGACTAAAGTAATTGTATTGATAAAATTCCTTAAAATATATATTTTTTTCAGGTGAGTTTTTCAGATTGAAGTGTTTTATAATGTTTTTTGTTCTCTGCATTCATATGAATATACTGGTGTTACAACTTAGTATACGTTTGATTGGTTTTTGGTATACAGTACGTCTATTTTATAGCCCCCCCCACCCCACCCCCCGCCCCGGAGAAAACTCCACCAGCCGCTACTGATTATGAGTTCTGAATTACATTTCTTTCTAATTCAAGTAATACAAATTATATCCAGTAACTGCAGGAATATGGAGATCTGATATTACAGGGGGTCAATATAACCTCAATGTTAATTACTTCATTTTAATATACAAAGATGTTTTCATCTTTAATTTTTATTTCCATCAGCCCCTTATCACCTTCCTTAACTTGGTATGATCCAATCAACGGGTTTCTCCACCTAGAGTTCATCATTCGCTGTACTGTAGATGGCCTTGCTAGCAAAAA